TCTCTCTGGTGACTGCATGTGCCCTATAGCATATTTAGAATAATAATAACAATGATAATAAAAAATAATTATTTTTTAAAAATCTGATTCTGGCTGCACTCTTGATTCCAATTAGTTTCGCATAATTGATTGGATAGAATTTGTAGCAGTCTGAATCAGGTGCTTTGAGGCATTGACTTGCTTCACAATAGGCTTTTCTATTTCCTAGGCAAAAGTCTCAATCATTCATATTTCCTAATGTTACTCTGAATCTTATACTCTAGACTGCAATAGAGCTATGGAAATAGTCTAGCTGTAGAAATATAAAGTCAACTCCTTTAAGAAAGTGACATTTTAATGCTCTAATATTGTAAACATGTCAAAATGGTTGGCACTGGCTCAAATCTGTTTCTTGTGATATTTCTGGGATATACAGGTGGCAAATTGTGAGATCGTCTTTGGTTTGCTTTTCTTCCTTTTCCAGTTTTCAAAATAACCCCATAAATTGGGATTTTCTTTTTCCCCAAATTATCTATAGTTAATACTTCATTTTTCAGAAAGTTTATTAATAACAATAAATTTTAAGAATTAAACTCGTATAAAAATATAGCTTAAATTATTCCTAAAACATCTGAATTTTGTTAAGAGGCGAAAGGTAACAAGTCTGTACATGGCTAAGGGTAAGCTTCCCTTCAGTTTACCAATTTTTTCCTCTGTAACAGTGGATCTCAGAATGTGGCCTCAGAGTCAGCAGTATTTGCATCGCTTGGGAACTTGTTACAAACTCTTAGCCTGTATTCCAGACTTAGTACAGTGCCCAGGGGTGGGAAGTGGGGGCCAGCAATCTTTTTCCAAAAGTCATCCAGGTGATTCCGATGTAGGTTAAAGCTTGTGGCATACTGGTATAAAGGAAAAAATGTACGCCTCAGACTATGGTAAGATATGGTTTTAATAACAATCCCAAGCAGGTGATTTTAATACATCATCAGTTTCCTGGTGCTATGATTTATCTGGTTAATAACTAATCACCTTTGCTTGTCTTACTACAAATACTACCTGATAAATGACATCTGTTCATTTGTTTATTCATAGACTTCCATCTCCATGTGTTTCAGATTCCTGCGTAAGTTTGGAATTCACTGATCTATAAGATACTATACACTAGAAAAAGACCAGCTACATAATCTGTGGTACAAAATGAAAACGTGGAGTACCTTACTCAAAAATTAAGAATTTCAAGAAGGTGAAAGCAAAACATTAAACTAAGTCCAAAGCTTCCTGCTAAGCACAGACCTGTAACAATACAGATTCAATGCCCAGAGATGAGTTTTTGGTTTTATCTAACAACACTTTTTTGTTTGTTTTTACCATGGAAATCACACAATGCCATGAAGGTAAGTCACATCTTCCCCTCAGGCATTATCAATTTTACCTCCCATGCCGGCAGCCTCCACAGACAGACATGCTCTTTTACTTTTTGGTTGGTCTTGGTTGTCTTCCATTTATCTATCCAAATGAGTCTGTGCTTCAAAATCCAACTTAAGTTCTTGTGAAATCGTCTCCTACCACCTTCATTCATTAACTTCTGTCTATTCAAACTTTTCTTTTATACCATACATTTATTCTTATTTTTTCACCATTAATGATTGTTAATATGTTCATCTTGATTTTTGAATAAGAATATAACATCTTGAGTTTTGAAATGCTGAAACCAGTATTCAAAGGAAAAAGTACAGGTTTTTGAGTTTAATAAAGTACAAATATCATCTCAAATTTACTACCAGTGATTAGGCAAATTACTTAACTTTTGAGCCTCAGAATCTTCATCAAAAAGATAAGATTTAGTTTAGTGGGTTGATGTGAGGATGAAGTGACACAGCATATGTAAAGCCTATTAGCACATATGAAGGCTCATCAAATATCGATTTCTTTACAACACATATACTTCCTCATATCTGATTTTGCTTCAGCAAACAGACTAACTCTAAACATGTGTGCAGTATTCACCAAATATTCCTTCTTTGGAAGTGAGTATATTATATTTTTAATGTACTATTTTATATACATCCACGAGGTAAACCAATCCCATTTCAAATTTTGTATGTCTTTATCTCTGATTTGTTTGCAATTTTTTTTCACATTCTGATTTTTGTAAAAAATTGGGGAACCAGCAGTTAGCGTAATGGCTATGTCGCTGGACTCCCACGTAGACGACCGAGGTTCCTGTCCTGGACCGGGTGGCTTAGAACTCACGCCGGGCGCGTGTGCGTGCATGCCCAAGATCCCCAGAGGAGAATGGAGGAGAAGGGATTGTGGCATGACCATCCCCCCTGGGGGGTGATTTCTCGCTTTCTGTCTCTATGTCTCTCTCTGTCTGGAGAGCGCATGCGCCCTAGAGCGGAAAAAAAAACCTATCAAAAAAAATAAACATTTAACTTTGTAGAAGTATTTGCATTTTCTAAGCCTTTTTACAGCTATTATGTTATTAAAGCCACTTGTGATGGATGAAAGTATATATATATTTATATTTCTTTTTTGGAGAGGTTTCTGCTACAGGGCGCATGCGCACGCCAGAAAAAGAGAGAGAGAGAGAGAGGGGGAGCTAGCGCGAGCGAGAGAAATCACCTTCCCCCCCACCCCCCCAGAGGGGATGGCCACGCTGCAATCCCTTCTCCTCCTCCATTCTCCTCTCGGGATCTTGGGCACGCTCGCACACACACCCGATGTGAGTTTAAGCCACGGGTCCGGGACTCCGACACGGTCGACTACATGTGAGTCCAGCGACATAGCCATTACGCTAACTGCTGGTCCACCGAAAGGATATTCTTATCCTCAGTGAAAAAACCTTTAAAAATGGACACCAATAGGTTAAAGAATTGCTCTAAATCAAACAGTACTAGCGTAATTACAGTGAAATGTCCATAAAAGCTGAGTCTAAACTGAAATCTGCTATCTCATCTAATATTTTCTTTTCCTACTATGCCGAACTATCTCAGGTAAACAATATATCTGTAAAGCAAATACAGGAACAGTTACTTTAATTGACTAAAGTAATATGAATAAGACGATTTCTTTTTAAGTAGGGCACAAATTATAGTAGGAATTGAGGTTTGCTGAATTAAAAACGGCAGGTAACGTGCTACCTATAACTCCTTGTTTAAACTCTTTTGACAGACACATTTTAAATGGGCCATTTTTAAAGGCAGTTTCAATTTGGGGCCTACCACATCACGCTTGAAAGCTGTTTTCCTCCATGTGAATTATTTCTTCTTCCAGTTCAAACCACACTTGGCTTGGCAAAAATATGAGTGAAAGGTCCCCAAGGACTGTTCCTATCCATCAAACCACAGCCCACGGATCCTCAGATATTCCCACGCGAAACCACCACAACACCGGACCCTAAGCCAAAGGTCCGCTAGCGTGAGGGCTAGGCATAAAAGGCGAATGGGAAGGCAGCACCCCTTTCTGCTCCCACCCTCTTCACGTTCGCCACATCCAATCGGTTTTCCTTGTGATGCAGTTGGCTCCTGGGATTGGTCAGGAGTGGGACCGGGCGCGGGACCAGCGCACACAGGCGGAGCACTGAGACTTGTCCGTCACGTGCGGCAGCCAGGCCTCCGAGCCTCGCTGCGC